TATGGAGGGGGTGGTCCTGGGGGCCCAGGAGGGCCAGGCGGACCTTGAGGTCCAGGCCGTCCAAATCCTGGAGGTCCAGGCTGACCAGGAGAACCAGTAGGACCCATTGGACCAACAATGGATTCGCCTTTCGGACCCTAGAGAAACAACAGAATAATTCATTGTAAAAGAGTGGTATAATTTGCACAGCTTTGGCCAGAAGATCCGGCTTTTACAAATAATCATTTTAAAATATTTTTTAAATAACCTCCTGTTCTAGAATAGGATTTTTACCAACAACTTACCACAAGGCCTGACCTCCCTGGGATCCCCGGAGGACCAGGCAGGCCCGCATCCCCTTGTTCTCCCTTCTGACCTTTGTATCCCTGATCACCTTTAGTGCCCTGAGAGATCAAAAGAGTGCTCAGGATTCACCACTCTGCCACCGAAAGAGCATCACGGTGCATTTCTAGTGTGTTAGCACATATTTCAGTCTTAAATGCTTAACAAGTGCCAGTTTGTCAGTTTTAATGTTTTGTTTGTGCGTTAGCTTGGTTTTATAGCTTAAAGTTGTTACATCTGAGAAGTTATACATTTAAACTACCGTACTTTGAAAAGTTATTACTTCCTGTGTATTATGTGTTGTACGTGAGTACTCACCACATTTCCATCTGGGAATGTGAGCCCTAAGAAGAGAAATTACACATATCAATCACACAGAGCAAGCAGCAGAAAACTTGGTGTGAAATGTCAGCTGTGGGCTGATAGACAGAACTTCCATATACTTTGGCCTCATGATGCATTGACCATATTTAAAATGAACTTCCACCACTGTCACAATATTTGTATGACAGATAATAAGGAAAAGTATCATGTGTCCACTATCATGTCATCTTAAGCTCTCACCAGGAGTTCCTGGCTCCCCAGGTAATCCCTCATCTCCTTTGTCTCCTTTAGGTCCCGCTGAATGTCCCCTTGTCATTGACCCCTGTGCACAAACACATCGTCATTAAGATGACATTTGTGTTGGGAAGCTGGCCCTCATACACATTTACAGTCGGGTTACACAACAGAAGAAACAAGTGAACATCAGAAAGTTAATTTGCAAAGTCAAAAGTCACAATCAGAGACTATGGTAAAAACAATGGATTATTGTAAAAAAGACAAGAAGATCAAAGCTAAAAATTATTGTCAGGATTACATAAACACCTGTTAAATACAAGGGATGCATGCTACAGACTGCAGCACTCATCCTGGGTTAAAATGTAGGATTAAGGTTCAAGCAAGCAACGTGTTATAAAA